ACTATGGACTTCTATTTAGAATATAAAGAATCTTAACAATAGCCCAATTACAAACTGCCTTAAAGATTTGAACAGATACTTTACTAAAGATACATCATGACAAATATATGAAAAGATATTCAACATAGTCACCAAGGAAATACAAATTAAAACCACAAGCTATTAGCGTATTGCAGGTCCACTAGAATAACTAAAGTTAACAAGATTGACCATAACCACTGTTGGCATGGATATGGAGCAGCTGGAACTGTAGGTGGGGAAAAAATGGTACAATCACTTTGGAAAAGAGTTTGGTACGTTCTTAAAACATTAAACATGTGACCATCATATGCCTCAGCCATTCCGTTCCTGGTGGTTTACCTTAGTGAAGTGAGAGTGTTGTCTATATTGTTTAATGCAGGAATAAATTACTGGTATTTGCAGGTGTGGGCTTTGGGAGTTAGGAGTGGATGAAGTAATGACAGAATTCTATGATTACATTAATGTCTTTATGAAAAGTTCAAGAGAGCTTATTCTATCTCACCATGTGATATCAAGCCACCTTAAGACTCTAAAGAAAGGCCACTAAGTCAGAAATCTTTCAGCATTGTGGCCCTTAAACTTTGGATTTCCCAGCATTCAAAACTATAAGCAATAAATTTATTTTGTTTGCAAATTATCCAGTCTTTTGTATTTAGTTATGGCAACACGAAACATATTAAAACACCAACCCAATTTATTGACTATTATTCTTTCTTCATATCGGATCTTTTCTGAAAAGGTTAAGGAGAACAAACATTTTCTAGCTCCTGTCATTCTAACGTTTATAGATGTTGCTCAATGATTTTTTTTCTTAATGTACTTTTTAAAAATTTTTTAGAAGCATTTCATTACAGCTTTAACATACTCAATAACTGTTTCCAGAGCAAAGACATATCTCTTTCAAAAGTGGCTACAAAATTGTTAGGTTCACTGTTGAATTAATACAGTCATACAATATTAAATGCAGTACAAACCCTGTAAGACATAAAATTGAATGAGTTTTTAACCTTTAAAAAAAGATCTCCATTTCATTTTAAAATACACTGTTTCTGGGGCTGGAAAGATGGCTCAGCGGTTAATTTCCTCCATGCTTCCAAGCGAAGCCAACCATGGTCGAGCAGGACCTTTGACTTATCTTCACATAGGCGGAACCGGTAAAAGAAAGGAGCCAGGGGCTCCTCCCAAGCCCATGTGACCCCTGAGGAACAGATCCTCAAACGACCTTAAGAGTAAAAATAAATTGGTTTATCTGGGCCAACGGTATAGCCTTAAACACCGAAAAGGAAAGTATAGCCAAAGATTAAAGGGGCCAATATAATTATTTGTGTACAGCTAAAGGCTACATAATAAGCAACAATGCCATATAGGAGATACCTTCTTTTGAGTTGTTGGCCAGGGTGGCCCAAAGACTCCCACATAGTAACCCAGCATAGAACTGGGAAAATGAACAGCAGACTTCAATCAGACTTCAATCTTATCTAAAGGAATATTGACAACCAATTGCTGCTAGATGAGGAACAGCTGACCCTCCTAAACAAAGATCTCTAGATAGGCTGACTAGATAAAGGAATATTGACAACTGATTGCTGCTAGATGAGCAACAGCTGATCCTCGTAAAACGAAGCCCTCTAGATAGGCTGACTAGATTCACGAGAAGGGCAAGTAGTGGGGAATGGCTGGGGGTGCCGACAACACAGCAGACAGTAGCAGGGATATCAGAGTATAAGGGCTCTAGTCGGGAGAGGGAGGCTATGGGAGGGTGCCATCTGGGACATGGGTGTATAGGTTTGGGATGTTCTGTGTGATATACACACACACGAAAAAAAAAGTCAACAAATTCTTTTAAATGTATTATATTTGAGGAGGAAGCATGGAAATTTACATCATGCTAATTAGTAGAAGTGATAAATATTACCATTGAAATCTACCTGATGACTTTATAGACATACACAGGTGCCAAGGATCCAAGTGCAACTGATTATGACTAGTAATAATCAGATACATACAGATTAGAGATGCATGTGCCAACATCTCAGTGCTAGTAGCAAAAACAATGAGTCTTTCTGCAAGGAACAATATATTCTAAAATGAAATGGAGATCTTTTTTAAGGGCTAAAAAACTCAATCAATTTTATGTCTTACAGGGCTTATACTGAGTTTGCAACACAGTGGACAGTAACAGGGATGACAGAGTATATGGGCTCCAGTGGGGCAGGGGGAGGAGCTATAGGAGAGTGCCATTTGGGATGTGGGTATATAGATGAATAAGCTTGTTTGGGATGTTCTCTATGAAATACACACCCCAAAAAATCAACAAATTAAAAAACTGAGTTATATTTGAGGAAGAAGCATAAAAAATTGCTTCACATTAATTAGTAGATGTGAAAAATATTAGCATTGAAATCTACCTGATGACTTTATATCCATGCTCAGATGCCAAGGAGCTCAGAAAGTAACCGACTGTGACTAGTAATAATCAGATATATAGATATTAGAAACGCATTGCAAACATCTTAATGTCAATTGCATTAAAAATGAAAACTCTGTATTTTAATAATGAAATGGAGATCTTTTTTAAAGGTAAAAAAAAAAAAAAGAACATTGGTTGTTCTTGCAGAAGACCCGAGTTCAAATCCCAGCACCCATATGGCAGCTAACAACTGTCCATAACTCCAGTTCCAGGGGATCTGAGGGCCTCTTCTGTCCTTCGTGAGCATTGCATGACATGGGTGCATGTACCTACATGCAGGCCATACACACATACACATAAAAGAAAAAAAACATCTCTAATCTGTATGTATCTGATTATTACTAGTCATAATTGGTTGTACTTGGATCCTTGGCACCTGTGTATGTCTATAAAGTCATTGGGTAGATTTCAATGGTAATGTTCATCACCTCTACTAATTAACATGATGTAAAATTTTTTTATGATGTAAATTTTTATGCTTCCTCCTCAAATACAATTCATTTTTTAATTTGTTAATTTTTTTTGTGTGTGTATATCACACAGAACATCCCACACCATCTTATTCAACTATATACCGCTTCCCAGATGGCACCCTCCTATAGCCTCCCTCCCCCCACTAGAGCCCTTATACTCTGTCATCCCTGCTACTGTCTGCTGTGTTGTTTTCCCAGTGCTTGTCCATCTGTTGAATCTAGTCAGCCTATCTAGAGAGCCTTGTTTTAGGAAGATCAGTTGTTCTTCATCTATCAGCAATCAGTTGTCAATATTCCTTTAGAGAAGATTGGGGTCTGCTGTTCATTTTCCAGTTCTATGCTGGGTTATTATCTGGGAGTCCCTTGGGCCACCCTGGCCAACAACTCAATGATTTTTTACAAGTATTCTCATTTAGTTCTCATGTTATAAACTTATGCAATAGGCACTAATTATATCCTTTTTTAAAATTTTATTTATTAATTTTATTTATGTGTATTCATGTACTGCATGCCTGTAGGTAAGTGCACCCATGTAGTGCAATGCCCACAGAGGACAGAAGGAGCTGCCTGATCCCCTGGAACTGAAATTATGGACGGTTGTTAGCTGCCATGTGGGTGATGGGATTCGAACCCCAGTCTTCTGCAAGAGCAGTCAGTGTTCTTAACCACTGAGCCATCTCTCCATCCCCGATTATTTCCATTTTTACAGATAAAGCATTTGAGACAGAGAGAGAGGTTGAACAATTCACCAAAGAGTACAGGTGAACAGCAAAGATGAGATTCCAACTCAAGGAGCCTCACCTAAAAGCCTGTGCTGCTAATCACTGCACTGTAACATCCCTTAAAAAAAAAAAAAAAAAAAAAAAAACTACAAGTTCTCAAGTATCAAAAAATGAGTCAAATAAAACAAATGATGACATGAAGGCAATTTCAGACTTAAATGTACAAGTCACCAGTTCTAAATGACAATTCAAAGAAAATAAATCATTTCAATGTCTGGCCTTCACTGAGAATGTTTTTGTTGCTAGTTGCTGTTGTTCTCTGACACTTAACTGCTACTCAAAACAACAGTCAAAATTAAAATCACATTTCCTTTCCAATTGACAGAGATGAAGACTGAAATCCAGAATACTCCTATATTTAAAACATTTTCTTTTGCCACTATTTCTTGTTTTATAAAAACGCATACAAGCTATTTTTATCAAAGGATACAAAATCACCAAATTGGACCAACAGGACTAAGTATGTATTGCTGCATGTTCCAGGACAGACAGCAGAAATCTATAAAGAATATCATAATCACTAGGTGTGGTGGTGCATGCCTTTAATTCCAGCATTCAGGCAGCAGAGGCAGGCCAATCTCTGTGAGTTTGAGGCCAGCCTGGTCTATATAGTTCTAGGCCTCAGAGGTTAAGAGCACTGGCTGCTCTTGCAGAGAACCCAGGTTCAATTCCAGGGGATCCAACACCCTCTTCTAACCTCCAAGAGCACTGCATGACACAGATGCACTTACATACGTGCAGACAGTACATTCATACACATAAAAATAATTTTTAAAAAAATCACCATCTTTGTGGATTTGTTATCCCAGTTCTTACAACAGAGTGTGTGAGAAAAACAGTGTGTTATACTTTACTAGACCCTGCAAGCTTTTCTTCTACTCAAAAGAATACCAGAAACGAATGCAAGGATCTGAGAGCAGACAGACTAGAGAGGGAGCAACAGGACAACTCCAAGGGTTAGATCTCTGTCCATCGGATGTTTCTAAATCCCACTCAGGAGCCTGATTCAGAGGCAACACCTAATTTTACCCTAGGGCCTGGGGTGCTATAACCCCAACACACATAAACACACACACACACACACACACACACACACACACACACTTATGATGCCTCATTAGTGCATGATTTTTACAGGTATTCTCATTTAATTTTCAAAATAAACTTATACACTAGGCACTATGATTATCAGTGCATCATGGAATGCAAAATGCCCTGTGAAGAAAATAATTAGAAAAGGAAATTTTAACTCACCTTCCACTGGTCCTCAGGAAGCAGTTTCACAACCACGTGGTCCCCATTTAAGGCTCTATTACGGGCAACAACTCCATCAATAAAAATGTCTCGATCACCGTCCTAAGTTGGAGACAGAATAAACAGTCATCTTACCAAGGCCTAGAGCCTAAAATTATTTCCTTGATTAAAATGTTTAGACTTGGGAGCTGGAGAGATAGCTTAGCGGTTAAGAGCATTGGCTGCTCTTGAAGAGGACCTGGGTTTGATTCCCAGCACTCACATATCAGCTAACCATCCATAACTCTAGTTCCAGGGGAATCCAATGTCCTCTTCTGACCTCCCCGGCCATTACACAACACAGATGCAATTCCATACATGGAGGCCATACACTCATACGCATAAAATAACAAATAACTTTTTAAAAATAAAAAATAAAATAAAATGTTTAGGCTCTAAATCTGTCCACTAACTTAACAGGAACACTGCTCCATAGCCATACACAATCTAAAGGAAACTCGGTCTTCTCTGAACAAAAAGAAATGGCAATGAAAGCTTAAGAACACACCAGCAGAGTGCTAAAAATCACCAAATACTTAAGAGATCTACTAAAGGCAGACAAAAACAAAGGAAAAATACTAAGATTGTATGTTTTCATCAGTGGAAGGAGAAAGGAGATGTTCCTTTTTGGTTTTAAATTAAAAAAAAAAAAAAAAAACCCTACAAAAGAAGGCAGAGAGAGAATGAAGGATCAAAAACTTGAGACTCAAAAGTATTTTCATACCCACCTTTCTTCTGACTTAAGAGCAGAGTAAGCCCCAGACCATAAATAGGAGACATGGATACCTTGGGCATTTTCAGTCTTGTATCCAGAAACACCCCACTCTAAGTAGTACGGTACCCACTGAATTCCCCAGGCACCCATTCTCAACTTAAGAGGTCAAGAGTCTTCTTGATATGCCAAATCACATAAATGCAAAAGACAGCTACAGAGTCTTCAGAGGTCAGGGCTGGGAGAAATTTAAATATTTTCAAAAGGTTTCATCAACAAACACTCTCCTTTTATTCCTAAAAGTCACACATATATATTCCTATCAGAGGGTAAAAGAGAAGCCAAATGTTGGGTTTTCTTATAGGAGGTGATAGCAAAAGGGGCTAGGAAGTCATTACTCATTTTTCTCTAATAAAGGCATTCTATGCAGATAAGATTTAACACTCAAAGAACTAAAGTAACTCTTAAAAAATTCTAGTTAGTTAAAACTGTCATTCCGAAAATCATCAACCTCCACCTCAAAAAAAAGAGGAAGATTTTAGTTGCTCTGCTTTTTTTATAGTTTCCAATTACAATAATTTGAGATCTTTTAGAACAGATTTTCTTCCAATTTCTAGTCTAGTGATGGCTGGCAGCTGCAGCATACACTTTGCCAAGCCTGACCCTACCCTAGTCCCTAAGGAGCAGCTACTGTGTTAGCCACAAAGAATTGCTGCAGTTGACCTCACGATGAGCTTCTCAGAGAAATAAAGGGATGATTGGTAAATAAAATGGGAGCAACTCCACTGTGACTCATCACCATAAATCGTTGCCTTCTGCAACTTATAAAGCAGTGATCTTATGGACCTCCTGCAACAAAGAGAACTAACTGTATGGAGGTCACCCTAACCCATTCTCGTGTACCAAAACATCAGCAATGAAACACCTCCTTGACAAGTAGCTGTAACCATCCTTTGGAAGCTCAGAAATTAAGTAACAGGACGATGGTACTGTGATCTTCCTGTCCCAAAGAACCAAGGAAAGCAGGGATGAAGGGAACCTCAGGCAACCTCTACCTACTCCATCATTATCCAACTCTTCTTTGATTCATTCAGAAGCCTCTATCTATAGCCAAATCTCTTATTTTATAGATACTAAACTTAGGAACTGCTCAATATTAAAATTTGAATCATCCCTGTTAACTAGTTTTTAAGGCCAAAGAACTCAGCTCTTTATTTGAATGCCAGAAGACCTGCCTACCCCTTAGAAAGGGTATTAGAATGCCAAAAATTGAGGGGGGCAGGAATGGGAGTGAATGGTGAGCACCCCTGAAGAAGTACAGGAAAACCTAAATCCTTAGGGAAGACAATCTAAGAATGCAATGGTGACCAGAGTCTCCTCTGTTGATGGAATAGCTCCCTTTGGACCAGGAATAAATTCCATAGTGGGATACAGGGTGCCTTCCATAGTAAGACACAGGAACAATTACAGAGCTTCTTGGACTAATATAATCCAGAACAGAAACAAAACAACAACAAAGCTGGTCCATTTCTCTTTATCTTAACCCCAAACAGGATAAAAAGCTATCTCAATGCTATCATTTATCTTAATTTGGCTTTATTCTCAGTTTTTACGTCTACCAAGAACTCCAAGAGACTAGCAGGGTAGGTATAAGTGACTCATCCTACACATTTTGGATGTGTCGTGTGAAAATTAAAATCTCCTTTCTATCAAGAATAAGTAGAAGTTATAACGAATTCAAGTCAAATTCCCTCAAAAAATATTCTTTTTCACCTAGTGATGAGGCCTTACCCTCCTAGCTTAGGTGGCTATTCTGACATACCAAATGGCATCATATTAAGTTCGTCAACATTTTTAAATATGACTAAACCTGAATAATTTAATTATATCTTTTCTCTCCAAAAATCTTACCATTTTGAAGCTGTGACAAACATTAGATGTCCATTCTTTATATTACAAATAAGGAAACCTTTCCGTTTCCTATTGTCAGAACAGAGGCTACACTTTGTTTCATGCCCAGTCCGATCTTTGGTCTCCAGCTTGAGAATGTTACAGGCAAGAATTCAGGCCCTGGCTCTGACATCTGTGGACACTTCTGGAGTTCATGTAAGCTCATTCTTGACATGGACATGAACTACACTTACTCAGAAATTCACACTGATGGTCATAGGAGATTGTCTACGTGTGAGTTACTGCCTCTACCATTGACATCTTCAGTTCCTTTCTATGCCTCTGAAAACTGAAACTGATCAAAAGATCCCCCAAAATAAGAATGCAGGATTATTCCAATGTCCAAACTTAGACTGTTTATAATCACCTGCAACCAAACCTTGTAGCCAACACTTACTTACCAAGAGATGATTTAGTATTTTTTATCTTTCTGGGCTAATATGACTACTACTCCATTTGAGGCTAGATAAAAGAATGAGGCATGGGAAAAAGCAAATTCTAATTATATCCTATCTGTCTAAAAATTTCCAAATAGGACATGACAAGAACACAATTTCAAGGAGGAAAACAACTATACTTTAATTCACAAGAATCTAGCCAGGCTCCATATCCCTCCTCATCAAGCAAGGAATTCTAAAAGCCAAATGAATGCCCTTCCCTGAAATTATTGGCCTCAAAGTCCCCAGATAGTATCCCTATACTTGATGGAAGATAAAGGGCAGTATTGCTAAGAGGTTGGATACCGCTTACACATGTGGGATAAGAGGGCCATATTTGGGAGTGCAAGAGCTCTCACTGAATGTAAAGGAAGCACAGGGAACAGGGAATCAGGCTTGAGAAAGGAAAGGGGAGGAACAAAAGCAGACACCCTTCACATTTCGGCCTAAAGCTCTTAAGGATTCTGAATTCTAGATATGAACAAACATGAATACATGAAGGAATATTTATCAAGAAGTATAATTTATTTGTCATAAAGTATATTTTGTTTAACAGGTTGTTAGTTTGATTTAAAACTTTTATTATTTGTTTCTATTTTTTATTGTGTTTATATGGGTTTGTCTGTATAGAGTTATATGTATGCAACTGTAGTGCCTTGGAATGTTGGATCCCCTAGAGCTGGAGTTATAAGCAGTAGTGAGTCACCTGATGTGGGTACTAAAACCAAACTCAGGTCCTCTGCAAAAGCAGCACATGCTCTTAACCACTGAGCCATCATTAGGCCCTGATTGATAACTTTTTAATATTTGATACCTGTGTTATATGTGTGTCTCTTCTGTAGCTTTGTTAGGTGTTGACACAGCCAAGGGGAGATTTAACCAAGGGGAGGCACTCAAGAAAAAGAAAAATCTATCAGTAAAATGTTCAAAATGCTGCAGCTACCTTTATTTCAGCCAATGAGGACAGACAGCAATGTACAGAGGAGATGAAATACTTGAAATTTACTCAGTTCAAAGATGCCTCTTGCAATGAACTTACTCCATTGAGTAAGGATTCTCATGCTTAAAGATCACTGTTTTTCACACACAGAGCTCCTGATTTCATTGAGCCCCTCTAACCGGTATGCTACCCAAGAAAGTCGTTCTTTCTAATGTGGAAAAAACACTGATTATGCCAGACCTACTGAGAGATGGCTTATCTGTGTCCAACATGGCACCACTGTTATTTTTGGACAAATGTTCAGATTAGCTCACGCAGTAGATTGAAAGTAGATAGCATATTTGTTTAGGAAAGATTAACTTAAATCAGTGGAAAAAAACATAAATCCTTTTAGCTATAAACCAAGGGCATCCAATTACATGAACTGGCAGGTAGGCTGCCTGGGTCCAGCTGCTTTCTGCAACCTTGAAACAAATCCCATCCCTCTCATTCAGCATGTGATTTTAAGACTGACAGAAGGGATGGTGAACCAAAGACAAATTTCATTTATTTAAATTTGTTATTTAAAGAAACAAATCTTTGCCTATCCTCAATTTTGTTTTACTACTTTGCTTTTTAGTTAAAGTATATGGTTTCAATTTCAGAGCACATCTAAAATTTTCAATGTGACATTAAGTTTATTATAAAATTATTGAACTTACCGGGGAAGGAATGAAGGCTTCATGAAACTTCTTTGGATTAATTCTCAATACACCCTTTAAGATAAAAAATAAAATCTATGAAAATCTGACTAGCTGTATATTTATGATTTTTCCATATATATGTTATTTGTCAATAAAAAGTTCTTAAGCAACTTGATCCAGAAAACAAGTTAGATAATTCAGAACTATTCATTAAATTCATGAAACCTGACAGAGGTTAATGTGCGAAACATTAGGTTTATCAAAAACTGAAGGCTCAGACTGACACCCTGATGTGACAGACACAGGCAGAAACAAGAGCACTTAGCACAGAGTAGGAAAGTGACAGCTATGGGGTTCGAGGTGTCCCTATATGCTGGTCTTCAAATTGAAACCTTGACTTTAAGAATAATGCTATCTGGACATTATCTTTCACTACATTAACAGTCCTTTTTTGCTCTCTCAGTTCTAAGACCTTTGCAGAATGGCTTGTTTCTGTGACTATTTTTCAAGTTGATTTCTACTAGATTCTTGGCCTCAAGGAACTGGATGTATGTTTTACTCTGGCCCCCTGCAGAGCTGAATGAGTCAATAATTCAAAATGGTCCATAACCAGCTCTTAATGCAAACAGGAATGCTGGCTCCAACAGCCAGGCCACCCTGTTTACCTTCAACTTCATATTATTCCAGCACCAAGTGAGGGTCTACCTCTATTTATGCACAGGGGTACAGGTGGGGCCAGTCTTCAATAGGAGTTCAGTGTTATAGGTCTTTTCAGAAAGCCATAACCCTCTCCAAGCTCCAGCTGCACACACAGGCCACTAGAACACACTGATGGAAGAGGCTATTTTCCTAACAACCGTACTCAAAGAATAACTTGAGAAAGTGTTTTAAATAACATTCTCCACTAGAATGAATGACTCAAAAACACAAAATCCACAAGATAGGTGAGGGTATAAAATTCAATGGAAAATAATTTCTTTCTTTCACTCGTGTACCATGCTTAAATCACAAATTTTCATACCACAGTATACATCCCAAAATACCTTCCCAACATACCAATTACATGGCTACAGATGCTCATTCAGTCCTTAACTATTCAAGTACTGACTATGGCCAAGGCCTGAAGCAGACTATGTGGGGCACTGAGTGATAACTAAGTTTGATCCTTGTGAAGGGAGATGCATGGAATGCTGTACGTGACTATAGCGTACTTCCAAGTGTACCACCAAGGCTCCGGAGATGGTACCTGGTCCAAATGGAAGAGCAGGATGTAAAGGTAAGCCAGAAGGGAAGATACTCACTCTTCACCATGCTGCTATGACTACACTTAGGGCTACAGGAGATGTGGCTGGCCAAGTTCCCCCACACTTTCTTGGTTTGAAAGTAAAGCAAATTCAATTCTAGAACAGCTGTTTCTTCCTGGGGGAGAGGGAAAAAACTTATAATATCTCCTAGATATTCACACAGTCAACAAATATTTCCTGAAAACTAACTTGACAGGCACCACATTAGACGACGAGGCTACAATTGGGAATAACAGGGCCTAGGGAAGAGAAGGTGCATCAATGAAATTAAACTCACTACCACTGCAGTTCTAATCATTTCATTCTGATTCCAAACTCCCTTTTCTAGCCTTTTTAAAAATTCCTATTCTTTTACCATCCCCCTTTCAGTTCAGGGAAGGGTAGCCTCGTGCTTTGAGTATGCCTTTAATTACAGAGCACTAAGAGAAGCCAAGGTTGTAGGCTCAAGGGAAAGAGACATGTTGTTCAAGCCTGCATCTAGGCTTAACTTAAAAAGAAAAGATATTAAAAGGACCTGAAAGCTTTTATTTTTGATTCTCTATCCCAAACACACCAAGAGATGAGAGTAACAGAAGGGTCGAAGCCTTGTTTCAGGAAAGTATTTGTGGGTGTTTTGGGTTTGGTTTTTTTTTTTCCCTTGGTCTTTTTTATAGACTGACTGAATTACTAGTTTTTAACTGAGGAGGCAGAGGCACAGAAATGTAATGACTTGCTCAAGGTCACACAGTAAGCCCTTAGGATCGTCCCCTACCCAGGGCCCTTGGCATGGTCCTTTTGGGTTTGGTTTTTTTTTTTTTCCCTTGGTCTTTTTTTGAGACAGGGTCTCCCTGTAGCTGCCGGTGGCCTAGAACTCCCTATGTAGACCAGGCTGGCCTTGAACTCACAGAGATCTGCCTGTCTCTGCCTCCCAAGTGCTGGGATTAAAGGTGTGGGTCACCACACCCACCCAACATAGCATTTGTCAGTTTCACTCAAGTATAAATGGACCTCAAAATCAGACCCTGAGAGTACAGATCACATGCAGAAACAGAAATCTCCAAAAGGGTCCCATATCAGACCAGAATTGTTCCTACAGTCTGACAAAAGCAGCTAGCAATAAAACCTGTCAAGAAATGGTCCATCCGCTCAAAGAGCCATCCTGCAGAGGCTCTCTTAACCAAAGAAGGCCAAAGCTGCATTTCCATACCTTCCTAACCAACCCTTAACCTCAGCTAATCACCTATCCTTCATCTTCCTAAAACTTCTCCTAGGCCTGGAACTTGACCAGTTAAGATCCTGTATCTCCCATCCCTGCTCTGAATGTTTCTGTGATTTCTTGCTGGATCAGAACTTGAGGTTCTGCCCTAATGGCATTAGTTCCTTTGTGTGCTCTCAAAGACAGTGGTCATCTCTCAGAAACCATGCATCTCAAGGATGGTGAAGACTGTCTCCTCGTTTCCCCAGCGTAGATTTAAAATTACTCTTTTCCTTTTGCTTCTCAAAAGCCCCACACCCTTTCAAGTTCATGTCATTAGTTCCTGCTATACTTGGTACAGTTACGTTCTAACTTTCTGATCCTAGAACTAATTCATCTGTTTTGACTCACAACTTACTTCTTTCCCCTCTACCCCAACTCCTATAAACATGTGGCACTTCATATCCATATCAATGACCAAACAACACTAGCCTGACACTCAAGCTACCTTCACCTCCACTCACCCTGTGGCTACATTTGTACTATGTCCACTGCCTATACCCTGTCATCACATTACATCTAAACACAAAGTCAAACATCACTCTCTGATTATAATCTTCTGAACTTGTAACTCACTTACTATGGAAACTTCAATAATTCTTCAGTCTAAGACCTCCAAGCCACAGCCCATAAACCCAACTCTCCAGTGAATTTGCCATTCACTGTCCTCCAACTACAGTTACTCCCTTCCTTGGCCACCTGGTAGCTATGGCCTGTCATTGTTTCCTACCTTCATAAACCCTCAGCCTTGGGTCCTTTCTTCCTCTTACATACAACCAACAAGGCCTGCCTCTGAACTGACCCCAACTATCTGCATTCTCCCTGTCTATACACAGGGACAAAATTGGCAATGCAGAAAAATACCACACAAATGGTCTAATTAGTCTAACTTAGCAATCACAAATACATTTTAGTTGGCTTAAGTCTGAAAATACTTAAAACTAAGGAATTTCACACATAAAAATATGCATTTCCAGATTTTCTTGAGAAAAGTCCTAAGATCTAGCAGCTGTGGACATCTATCTGCACATAGCAGCAACTACCTCAGTTGAATTACAGATGTTCCTCTGACACTAACAGAAACAATCTCAAATACCACTTACAAAAGTAGAATATAGGCATTGCACTTTAGGAGCTTTATATCTATGAACTAATTTAACTCCCACAAGAACTGTGATATAGATATTACCTTCTTCATTTTTCATAGATGGAGAAACTAGAGTACTGAAAAGATACATGAATGTCCCTGTCATAAAACGTTCAAGCCCAGGAAATTCAGAAGGAATTCGGGCTCTTTATTGCCTCCTTGCTGTAGTCACTTACCAGTGCTCTTCACTCACTGATGCGTCCCCAAAATCAGTACCACATTTCTAATTCTGTCTTCCCGACCTTGACCAACAGCAACATTATCCACTCAACTGTTCCACTCAGACCAAGGAATCACCCTGAATTCCTCCCTTTGCCTCACTGTCCATATCCAACCTGTCAGCACACTATGTCAGCTCTAGTTCACAGCCATCCACTTCTCTCCTCATGCCTCTACTTTTCATGTTCCGTATTTCCTTATCTAGTGGTCTCCCAGCTTCCATTCTACTCATCTCACAATAACCAAAGAGACATTTTTAAGACGTCAAATAGACTGTTCTTCCTGCTTAATGCACTCCAGTTACTTCCCACTGTTCCCTGAATAAAATCCAAGTTTCTAGCACAGTCAACACTATACGACTTGGCCACTAACTCTCCCTTTGTTCACTTATGTCTCAAAAGGCTTCTTTCCTGGTCCTCAAAAACATCAAATCTTCTTCTGCTTGCTGTTCTTCCAAAACTTGGTCTCTCTGCCAATATGCTTTTCCTATGGCTGAATGTGGATGGCTCATTCTTGCCCTTCAGAACTCAGCTAAGAGATAACCTTAGAGGCCTTCCCCAACCATCTGTGAAGTGATTCCCTTTACCTAGACTCTCTCATCTTTCCCAATGAGCAATTATCACAGCCTGTAATTTCTTTAACTGTTGCCTACCCCTCCACTGACTGTCCTATAGCACTCACTCAGATATGCTTGACATTTACTAGACTTTCAAGAAATATCTCCAGTTCATTAATTACCTAATGCCTGCAAAGTTGAAGTTCTACCATTGTCCCTGGTATCACTACTCTGAATATCACCTCTCCCTTCTGAATGACTGAGCATTCCAACAAAATGTTATCTCTATTTTTTCTTCTTTAATTCACACCCAAATATTCTCCAGCTGCCTTCAATCTTAACAAAGGGTGAAATTCCTAGAAATGAGACCATCATGTCCTCTGTCTTCCTAGACTAGGATTCTTTTCAGAGGTCCAATAACAACTTCTCACCAATATTCTATTCCATAAGAAGCTCTGACGTCATGCTTTAGGCAGCTCTGGGGGCTCAGGCTGGCCTTCCATTAGTCAATCGATGCATGATCTGGGTTCTGAAAAAGCCAATTCTACCATCTCCTGGTTCATGCTGCTTTGGTCATTCCCTTAAAGAAGAGTCCTTTCCAGGCATGCTATTAGACTGTCATCTCTCAGCACCTTCCATGACAATCACCCAATACCACATGTACGGAGAGAGTAATGATACACTGATGTGAGAACTTGATTATTAAGAAAACTTCAGTCAGGCGTGGTGGCTCATGCTTATAGTCCCAGCACTTGGGAGGCAGAGGTAGGCAGACCTCTGTGAGTTCAAGGCCAGCCTGGTCTACATAGTGAGTTCCAGGACAGCTTGAGCTACAGGGAGACCCAGGCTCAAAGAAGACAAAAGAAAAAAGAAAACTTCAAAACTACATGCACACAGTCATGCACTGCCGCTGTTCATTTCCAAACACAGGAAAGAAATTTCTTTGGTCATTGTGGCTCCTCTTTCCTATTCAGGTCAAACTATGAAATGCCAAATTATTGTCAAGGCATGAACTAATATATTATTCTACCATTTTTTAAGTCCCTATTATCTCTCAATAAAAGATCTTTGTCTTGATGGGGAAAAGAAAAAGGAGGTTATGACATACATCTAAATACAAAAGGTGACAACGTTTCTAAGCATATCTGATACTCTTCATTTTCTACAGTGGCATTAACATGTCCTTTCTTGTCTAGCTTTTTACCGAACCAGACAGAATACACACAAAGCTATATTCAAAAGCAGATGGACTCTGTTCCTGTGTTCTGAAAATCTTATTTACAGAATTGTATATTTCACATAGTGACCTCATATCTGGAACCCATTCCTCATCCCATCTGCAGAGAACAACTGTTCTCTTATGGGGGAGGCCCCCTCTGGCTGTAGAGGCTTATGATGTCACAGGCCAGGAGGAATCACTTAGAAACTCCTGGGAATGTGAGCTGTTATATTGATCAGATTTTTGTTTTGTTTAAATGTCAGTAAAAAGTCACTACAAACACAAAAATTAAAAGAAAGCAAAAATAATTATTACGGCAGAACACTGTTCTCATCCTATCTCATAAATAATTCTGTAACCAAAATACTATTTTCTCTCAAGTCATAACAAATGGCATTCACTTTTCTTCAAAAAGTAGTATCTTGACCTTTATTAGGCTAGTAAAGAAATACTTATTCAGCCTAAGTTTATTAAGCACCATCCAAGTTCCAAGAACAAGGCTAACCTGTAGAACAAAGCATGACCATGCCAGCAAGGAAATGAACAGTCTATTTAGGGAGAATAAAAGCCAAAAATATGGTAATATGTTTAACATGTAAACAATAAAGCTGGCTTTAGGAAGACAGTAACACCCAACTCCAGCTTGGAGAAGTGGACATTTACAAATCAACTGACAGAGTAAGTACAACTGCAACACAGTGGGAAGAAGCGACTCAAATACAAGGACAAGGGCAAACTCCTGGAAGAGCCTAGTGCACAGTTTTGTTTTATTTTTGTTTATATTTTAGGGTTGTTTTTTGTTTGTTTGGTTGGTTTGGTTTGGTTTTGTTGAGACAGACTCACCATAGAACTTGCTATGTAGACTAGGCTGCCCTCAAATTCACAGAGATCTGCCTGCCTCTGCCTCCCAAGTGCTGAGATTACAGATATGAGCTACCATAGCTAGTAAGCAGAGTTTTTAAAGGAAAAGTACGGAAATCCAAGATAATCAGAACAGAGTGCATTCCTACAGGGGAGTGGCAGGAGATTCAGTCTCACACAGGAAACCAGGAGGGCCAAGACACTAGCAGGTAAAATAGAGTCCAGTATATGGGCCAAGCAATGAAAAGCAAGCAAATATATCAATGAAGGACCAAGTGTTCAAATGCATTTCCACTCTCTTAAGAGAGGCCTTGTCAAAGAAATTAAGACACAAAAGGCCAATGGTATTCCTAAATCAGAAAGTCCAAATCATTGTTAAAAACCAGTGATGTATTTAAGAGTTTACATAGACCACAGGTAAATATAGAAGGGTGATAAAACTGCAGAGAAGATGATAAAACTGCAGAGAAGATGATAACATCTGTTATTTATTTTGATGAATCTTCAGCCGAAAACACAAATGAATCTGGACTTTCAAAATGTTCATGTAGAGGCCAATGGTCAATGTCAGGTATCTTTCTCAATCATTCTCCACCTTACTTTTTGAGTCTTTCATTAAACCTGGAGCTAGACTGCTGGCCAGCAGGCCCCAGGGACCCTCTTTTCTCTGCCTCTTCAGCACTGGGATTACAGACACATGCCACTCTTCTCAGGTCCTTGTGCTTGCCATGCAAGCATCTATCAACTGAGCCATCCCCTGAGGCCTCAGTCAACATTATTATGAAACCAGGACATGGAAATATTTCTATACTAATCCAAGAATTGAAACACTCTTAATTCAAAGAATGCATGGCCCTGCTTCCCTCTCCAGCCTTCTTACCTACAGCTACCTTAGCTGTCATGCCCAAGGGAAACCTAAGCTGTCTTACTCCAATATTGTTTCACAAGTTCCCATCTTCATTCTTCCCCTGCTTCTCCTTCACACTTTCCCATACATGCTATCTCTCACCCAGCAGGCCCAAACTAGCCATCTTTCAATGCCACCACAGGTCACCTCCACACAGCTCTCTGACATTCTCACGTGCTCTCTTGCTATCCTTCATCTGAGCCACCTGCCATTTTACCCCATAGATCATCAATCCACATAACTGGCATAGCATTCTCCTAGCCATAAAGGTTCCTGACTCAAAAGGGGATGCTCAATGAATGTTTGCTCAGCCAAGTCAAAGAACTAGCCTGTAACATATTCTGCATAAAGACTCAACAAATGTCTGTTGCTATTTACTGTTTCCTTTACACCTTTACTCACTTTTTCTCAATCATTGAGCTTCCATGTGCTTCTACTCAGTGTTCCATATAGCCAAATCCTACTTCCCACTTCTATCTTGGTAGCTCACATTGGTCACTCCATTTGCAAAGTGCTCTGTCTTTATTTACACAAACTGCACCAATTCAGGCCTGGCTCACATAGATCTCTCCCAATAAAGGATTCCTAGATAACACTGACAATAAGCAATAAAAGGTCCCTCTTCTCACATCTCAGAGCACTATGCCTCTGAGAGTCTAGTGGTGCTTATCACTTGGAATAAACTACAAGTCTAAGAAGCACAAGCCCTGCACCAGTTAAGTCAAAGAAAATAGCACAAAACAAGAAGCAGTTCAGCAAACAAGAGACTGCTGCAGTTCTACATATTCAGGGGATAAATACCCTATAGGTTTTAAATACCTGGATAAGCGTTCCTCTCTTCAAGCCTTCTGAAACCTCCTCCTTGGATATGTAGGTTTCAAATATGCTCTTTTTCTTCCCTCGCATAGACTTGTTCTTTGACTTTTTGTCACCTGGTGAGGCACCAACACCATGTGGGCCAACCACAGAGGACACACCTAGAAACATGAGGTAACAATCAGCCCTTTCCTCAGTTAAACATCTGTGTATTTTTCTACCTGGGGTTAGTGTGTCTTTATTATTTTCATTGTTGCTGTTGTTATTTACAAAGGCCAGCAACAGAATGATGATTTCAAACAGTCATAAAAATGAAATAATGAATAAGGAAGCATAAATAAACTACACACAGATAAGACCTGAGTTCTAAGTGAGTACTACGATATGCACAGAACAATGTTTTGCTATTTACAGACACAACCTTTTAGAAATAAGAAGTACTAAAAGACTGTCACATTTCTGGAGAAAAGTAAATGGCTGAACTCAATATAACAATAAACTAAGACAATAAGAAACCACACCTAATTCCAGAATAAATAACACAGGAGAATATTTAACAGTTCACAAAAAGAAGTATAGTCTTCCTCAGTCCTAAGAACCACCCTCCACCTCCACATCCCGTCCATTTATATTTCAAGTCTCCAGCTGCTAGGGCAGAGTCCATTGCTACCTCTGGGAGTCCCTGTGGGCCGAAGGTTCAGCCTGCAGTCAGGATGGTTCATTACTGGTCCCAAGGTAGCCTCTTCACTCCAGATCCAGGGACCCGCCACTACTCAGGTCAGAGTTCTTTCTGCCTTGAGCAGCTCAGTTGTCACGAGCTGAAATCAAAAAGGAATTGATGACTAGAGAACAGTTAACCTGTTGCCTCCTCTATCCCTTTGGTACTTAGACGCACTCAGATGGCAAAGGCAATGTGGTGGTCTCTTAGGTCCTGGTGTCATGTTCTCCTGGGTACTCAAATAAATACTGTGCTACATTTCTTTCCAAGGCCTTCACCCTCACAGGTACACTATACTGCTCCTTTGGAGCACTGTAACTAAAAATCTATGCTAATGGGGCAATGAAGTGGAAAATAAGAAACGAGGAAGTTCTATATAGCTTGTGAGATGCACAAAAATAGGAGGAAATGAGGTTTTAAAAGATGGCAAAAAGGGCCAGGAGTGGTGGCACCTACCCTTATCCCAGCACTTGAGAGGCAGAGGCAGAGACAGGTGGATCTCAGTGAGTTCAAGGCCAGCCTGGCCTATGTGGTGAATTCCAGGTCAGCTGGGGCTACAAGGAGATCCTGTCTCAGAAAAAAAAAAAAAAAAAAATGGCAAAAATTTCAGATTCTAAAAGTTGTATGGAATAGGTGCTGAATGAGGGTTCAAGTTGTGGATTCACTAAGTTTAACCTTAGACAAGTTATACCTCTATGAAATCAAATAAGTGGAATCATTAGAATTCATCAACAAAACCCAAGTTATTACCACCTAATGTCTCAAACCAGGCAAAGAACCTCAGATGGTTCACAAGCTTTCAAAATACAATGGCAATAGTGTATTAGAAGTCTATTCCCTCATTCTTACCAGCCATCACCTCTAGTTAAGTGTCTAATCAGAAGCTCAGGCAGCTGATTCTGAGAAAGACAGGAACAGCTGCCTGGGTCAGAAGGCTGCAATGCGTGGCTCTACAGTTGGGCTCTGGCTACCACCTAGATAATGAACATGCCACCACAACTTCTGCTTTCTCATCTCTACTGGCCACCAGCTCAGGAGGTAAGTCTATACTTGCAAACTTCCAAAATCCTGATGGTCAACCTACTTTCCCGTAAAATGGATCAAGCTGTCATTTTTAACTGTATCTTCCATTTCCTAATGATCAACGTTTTCTTTAAACTGAAATTATTACTAATTCAGAGTAGAGAAGCAATGAAGGCCACTTAGTGATATATGAAGTAATTCAGATATAAACACAAATGTAAGGAGTAAACAAAAGAAATAGCCTCACAGAAACAGAAAGGGGACAGGAAAACAGGAGGTGTCTAGGCTGTCTGAGAGTTAATCCAGAAATAACCCATTCTCTCATTAACTCAATAAATACATCTGCAAGGCAAAAAACTGAGCATATGAAGTTTTAGGAAAAAAGTCATTAGGTTTAAAAAGTCATACTGGCAAACAATGCATACTGGGAACTGACAGCACCATGGCTTTTCAAAATATGGATAACTATACATGGGAGGGGAAAGTAAGACCAGGTCAGGAAATCTGAGGGAACTTTGGGAAAGTTTTTAAGAAAGAACTAAGATATTAAGATGTGAACGAAGCATATTCTGGCAAAAAAGAAACAAAAACACAATGTAAACAGAAAAACACAGGCACATTCTCACAACATTAATTCCATTTGGGCAGGAAATCAAAACAAGTTAGAAGGTATAGAAAAACAGCTGAGAGTTTCAAAGGCACAAGGGAGTTTATGGAGCATGAATGGGCAACAGAGAACAACAGACCAGGGAGTTGTTTAAGGCAAAACCGTCTTAGCACTGAACTCAGGACTGAACAGAACAGAGACCAGTAGCTACACCTTAGAGGAGAACCAGAGACAGGACAAAATGAAGCATATAGAAACTGGGTAGTTACCAGTTAGGGGGCTGGGAGGCAGGGCTGTGTCCCTGTGTTAGAGAAGATGAATTCTACTTGAGGTACTACATATGCCCATGTAGAATAATCCAACAAATACTAGGAAAATGGAACATCATATATAGGGAGTTACTGCCCAGCCATTACACAGATGACAACCAAATGCTCAAGAATGGATGAGATTTCAAAGAAAGCACTCACTGAAACAGAGAAGGCCTGAAATAGGGACAATCACTTTTCCATGAGACACCCGTACAAACAGATAAAAAGCAACGGATAAGTACTAAGCATTCCTCTTCTGGCAAAAATCAGAGTTAGGGCAAAGAGGAGGCTGGGAGTGGTGGTGCATACCTTTAATCCCTACCCTTGGGAGGTAGAGGCAGGCAGATTGCTGTGAATTCAAGGCCACCCTGGTCTCCATAGCGAGGTCTAGGCCAGCCGGGGCTACAGGGAGACCCAGTCTCAAAAAGATGAACTGGTGTGGTGGTGCACACCTTTAATCCCAGCACCCAGGAGGCAGAGGCAAGTGGATCTCTGTGAGATGGAGGCCAGCCTGGTATACATAGCTGGTTCTAGGCCAGCTAGTGATATAGGGAGACCCTGCTCAAAAAGACAAAAAAAAAATACAAAATATAACAAAAGTCAATAAAGACATAGGAAAAGAACCAATAGGAGTGAGGTATTAAGAAAACAAAGAGAAGCTGGGCATGGTGACACTTGCCTTTAATACCAGTACTCTGGAGGCAGAGACAGCCAGAGCTCTGTGAGTTTGAGGCCAGCCTGGTCTCCATAGGGAATCCAGGCCAGCTGTGGCCACAGGAAGACCATGTATAGAAAAAAAGAAAAGAAAGAGAAAGAGAGAGGGAGAAAAGAAAGAGCGAGAAAGAGAGAAAGAGAGAGAAAGAAAGAGAGAGAGAAAGAAAGAAAGAAAGAAAGAAAGAAAGAAAGAAAGAAAGAAAGAAGGAAAGGGAGGAAGGAAGGAAGGAAGGAAAGAAAGAAAGAAAGAAAGAAAGAAAGAAAGAAAGAAAGAAAGAAAGAAAGAAAGGTGCCGACCTCCATCTGTAGCAACTGTGATCTCAGCAAATCGCCAGAAGTTCTGGCCTCCCTCTGGCATAGTGGCTGAGAACCCAGGAGACTGCCTGAGAGTTCCCAGATCCTGCCTCCACCATGGTGGTGAGCTTCCCCTAATTGTACCATACCCATCCCCCTACCTGGGATTTTCTGCGTCCCCTCCCAAGGCCCCAGGGCAGGCCAGGCTTTGATAGGCTAAGGCTGAAATCCTAGCAGCCTGAGGGGGGTGGGCTCCAACTGTCCATCACTACAGCAGCTGTGATCTCAGCAGACCTCAGTGCCAGGTTAAGGCCTCCCACAGAAATAGGGGCTGAGAACACAACAGACCAACTGACAGTCCCCAAATTCCCTTTAGGGAATTTCCCAAATTTTCTCTGAGTTCCAGCTAAAAGGGGTCCAAACCTTAGAAGACAGGAACCTGACTTGGGCTTCTATGGATACGTCTGAATAGCTGATCTGAAGCCATCAGTTCCCTCCAAAATAAAAACTGAGAGAACCTGAAATTTGTACCAACCAGCATTAGATAACCAATAAGGAAAGGACCAAGGCACCCCAATAATACAAACAGAAACGTACTTCAACTTAATTCTCATATCAGAATCATAAACAACAAAAGAGATTCACATGCCAAAATCACAACAAAAGAATAAAAAAAATAGAAAGCCAAAATCTATGTTCCCACCAAACTCCACCAATCCTGTAGAAGAGTTCTACAAGGACAACCCCCTAGAGATAACCCAGGACACTGAATTTAAAAGAACAATCATAAACATGATCAAGGAAGTTAACGAATTTAAAGAGCACACAAACAAACAAATCAAAGAGCTAAGAGAAGATAGGGATAAACTTCTGAATGAATTCACAAAAGAGAAACATTAAAGAAAACTCAGAAATGAAGAAGGAAGTGCAAAACTTAATAAGCCAACTTGAAACAAAAGGGGAAAGCCTCACGGCTAGAATGAATGAAATGGCAAACAGAATATCAACACAGGAGGAGAAAGTTGAAGAATTGGACAACTCAAACAAAGATTATGGAAAATTTTAAAAAACACAGTAATGGAATGTGCAAGAAATGTGGGACACCATGAAAAGACCAAATAGGAACAGAGGAAGGAGAAAAATTTCAGGTTAATGGTATTGACCAGATCTTAAACAGGATTGTAGAAGAGAATTTCCCAAAATTAAGGAAAGACATCCCGAAACAAATAAAAGAAGCACATAGACCACGAAATAGATAGGATCAGAAAAGAAACTTGCCGTGACAAATCATAGTAAAAACATTAAGTGTACAGAACCAAAGAGAGAATACTGAAAGCAGAAATAAGAAACAAATCACATACAAAGGAAAGCCCATCAGAATTATGGCTGTCTTATCAATACAAACTATGAAAGCCAAAAGAGCCTGGACCAAGGTATTTTCAGGTCTACATAACAATAGATGTCAGCCCAGAATAATTTACCCAGAAAACTGTCTATTATAGTAGAGGGGGAAATAAAATTCTTCCATGACACAAATAGCCTGAAAGAATACATGTCCACAAAACCAGCCATTCAAAGAATACCTGAAGCAATACAGAGAACAGAGAGAGAGAAACAACTATACCCCGGGGCAATGAAAGGAAATAAATAAAGGTATAATTGAAGAAACACAAAATTAGAGAACACAAATATCAATCAATGGCAAACCAATACAAACATTTCAATAATAACCTTAAATATCAATGGACTGAACTCCCCAGTCAAGACACAGGCTAAATGAGTGGATTAAGAAACAAAGTCCACCACGGGCATTGCACAACATGGGTGCACTTACCTACATGCAGGCAATACACACATACACATGAAATAAAAATAAATAAAATATTTTTTTAAAAAAAGAAACAAAGTCCAAAAACCCATCTTTTTGTTGTCTGCAAGAAACTAATCTCACTTTCAAGGACAGACAATATCTCAAAGTGAAAGGATGGAACAAAATATACCAAGCAAATGGCACTAAGAAACAAGCAGGTGTTGCAATTCTAATATCTGACAAAATTGACTTCAAAGTAAAACTTAATCAGAAGAGATAAGGAGGGTCACTTCATTCTGATCAAAGAAACAGTTAACCAAGAAGATATTACAATCCTTAAC